TTGCTCTGCGGGAGGCCAAGAGCTTCAGTGGGAACAGCTCTGGCCTCCTAGGCCTTGGTTCTGTTTGATGAGATTGCCAACAGTTGCACGGCCCAGGAGACAAGAAACGAGAGGAGAGACAGAGAAGGCTGGCCTCCTCCGTGGGCCACCAGAGTGCAGCTTGGATCTGCGGGCTCCCCCTCCAGCACCCAGGCTACCCTGCAGGGCCCTACCCAGAGGAGCTGGCCATCCACTTCTCCCTCCCACTCTCACCCTGGGAGACTCTGCCGTGTTCCCTAAGTCATACTCTGGACCTTGCCCCGCACTTGATGTCATGAAAATGCCCCTTATGCCCCTGCCCGGGGACTCTTCCTTTCCTGCTCTCCCCCTTAAAGTGACCATTAGAATCCTCCCAAGTTACGTACCTACATAAGAGGGGTCTCCTACAGACAACTGGAATTCGGGTAGGCTGTAGTAGGAGATATTTAGGGGCAGAGAACTCTCTGAGAATGCTTCTAACGCAGTTGTGCTCACAGCTGACTCTCCCTCCCGCGGGCAGTCTGGCTGGGGGCCGCCACTGGGAAGGTGCTCAGGAAGGTGGGGAGGCCCCACAGCCTCATGACCAAGAGGGGTCTGCACCGTCTCACCCCGTGTGACGCCTTGAGCTGTCTAAATCAAAGACACTAATTGCAGGAAGACATCCCAAACCCTTCTAGTCCAAATCCCCGTTTATAAGTAAGGAAACTGAGGTCCAGGGAGAGGAAGGGACCTGTTCAAGGCCGGGTGCTGCTGAGGGCGAGGCTCCCGCACACACGGCCCACCTGCGGGAGGACCGCCCTGACGCTGGCCTGCACTGCGTCAAGCTCTCCCAGAGCACTTTTCCGGGAGGCAGAGTAGGTTTAAAACGTCCTGCTGCCATGGCTGCGGCGCAAAGTCACCCTCTCTCCGCCCCTCTGCTGGCTAGAGCCCCCCCGAGCGCCAGGAGAGCCTGAGCTCCCCTCCACTCAGCAACCGGGAAGCAGCTCTGGCTGCCCACAACTCACACTCCAGCGAGAAAACTGAGGCCCCGAGCCCTCCTCGAGGGCCAACAGGATGGCAGGCAGCGTGAACGTCCGGCTCCCTGGCTCGGGGTCCGTAACGGTCAGAGTCTAAACACACACAAGCAACCAGAGTCTCACACTTTCCCACACAAAGTGGGTCTGGGCTCTGAGCCCAGCCGTTCCTCCTTCTTCTGGGGGCCCCTAGGCCCATGCTCCTGCAGAAGCGGCCCCTCTGGCCCCATCAAGACCACCTGGCCCGCGCACGAAGGCCCCAGGCGTGGGAGAGAAGAGATCTCAAAGCGCAGGGGAGTCGGACTTGGCTTCTCAGAGAGATCAGTTTCATCATCGCTGGGCGGGATGGTAGCCACCCATCACTTGTACCACAAGCCCCTTCCAGGGCCCTGTCAGGCTGGGCTAGGCTCCGGTCTTGAAGAGCCCAGAATCTCAGAGAGGGTCACCCAGATTGGCTAGGGCAGCTGGACAGGCCGGAGAGGACACTTATGTACTTCCAGCCCGTGGCCTTGGCACACGTGAGAAGCCCAGAACTTTGTGCACGGGGCAGGGTCTGAGTACACATTCTGGAAATGCATTTATGCTCTGACCTCCATGGGAGGGAGGAGGGATCAAGAACAAGGGCCAGGTCAGAGACCTTCCCAGCCACCAGCCACCATACTGATACTCAGGTGGTTTGTACCAGTGGTGAGCTGAGAGCACCCCAACTCTGGAAGGCAGAGCTGTGAGGCAGGCATGCAGGGTTCTGGGGGCCGGATGGCTGGGACCGTGAACCTGCAGCCCAACGGAGCAGCTGGGGGCCTGGGGGCTTAGGGGTGAGCAGTGAGACCCCGTGGCCCCAGGCACGCACCTCTCTCTGGCCTTGCCCTCTGTGGCATCTCGTCCCCTCCGATGGCCTTGTCCTGTGCCCGTCTGCCTAGCTGGGTGGTCTGCTCCAGGACGGCCAGGGCTGCCCGTCTTATAGGTAGGACTCCCCTACAAAGCCCATGGTAAGTATTCCAAAATGAAGGGAGGGAGGGAGACATTTATATGCTGTGTCTATCCCTACGAAAGCAGAAAATGTTGCGGCTCAGAAAGGTTGCATCTGGAGTGCCAGGGGCACGAGGAAAGGCATGGATGGGGAGGCCCATTGCATGGGCATGGCTGATACACATCCAGTTCCTTCGCCAGTCCGCCCTGTTATTAACCAGTTATGTGACCTTAGGCAAATCTTTACGTGCTCCAGTTTGACTACAAAACAGGGGTAAAAATACCTACCCTATCATCAGGGTAAAAATTAAGATAATAGATGTGAAAGTGTGCTGGAAAAGATGAAAACGCTATTCAAATCTAAATCTATTAGTGAGATAAATACTGTGAGTAACAGCAACATTAAGAAGGTTAATCTTTGCTGCTTGGAAGGCAGAGCAGGAAGAGACCCGGGGCTGCCGGGAACACAGAAGCCACGGGGAATGTGAAAGCAGGTCTGCCCCCCACCCCCACCCCCGCCCCCAACCGTGAGCTCTAACTCTGCTGAATGCCTTGGTGGGGGGAGGGTGCTAGATCACCAGCTCCAGGTCTGTCCTGCTTGGAGGGGGCTTGGGGAGAAAGGGGATGGCTGGCTCCCAGGAGAGAAGTGGGAGCAGCCAGAGGGTCAGGGCTCCCCAGGCTGCCCTACCCTTTCACCAGGTCCTGCTCAGCCTGCTGGAGGGGAACCCTCCCTGGTGTGCACCCCACAATTACAGTCCTGGCCTGGTCCCCAGGCTGCCCCAGGGCTCTGCAGGGAAACTAAGGATAAGAGGGTAAAAGAGGGATGTTAGGAATTACCACCTCTGTCCTTTCTCCCCATAGGACACACATACACACTCCCTCTCTGCTTTACCCCCTTTTAGGTAAGAGATTGTTTTAAAGGTCTGACCTCAGACTTCCTTCTTTCAGCAGTCCCGTGAATTCCTCCTCCCGTCGCAGCTCTCCCGAAGCTGGGACACACACTGGGGGCTCCCTACACACAGCCTGGGCTGCTAGGGCGCACGAGGGATGCCACGCCTCCACCCCATGCCTGGGTAGTCAGGGATGCAGAAGGTGACACAGCCCTCAGAGCAAGAGGCCCCCGTGACCTGGAGCCTCTCCCTCCGCAGTGGTCCAGCCCATCACTGGGGCCTTCGGCTCCCGGTCTATGTCCCCTGCCTGCCCTGGGCACTGTTCCTGGCAAGGCCTCTCCCTACAGGCTCAAAAGGTGCCTGGCCCCAGAGACTAAGGCAGCTAGAGGTGGCCAGGCGGTCAAGGTGGAAGGGAGATTCCTGCACCTCCAAAGCTCCTTGGGGACACGGGTGTGACCACAGGGAAGAAAAAGAGAAATGCTGATGGAGGACACCAGCCCCACCACGCTCAGCTCCCACTGTTCATCACAGGCCTGGTCTCACCCTGGGTCCGAAAGGATGGAGAAGGGCGCCTGGCTGGCCGGTCTGGCCTTTGCTGAAACGTTGACAGACAATGGGTTTAGGAGAGAAGAAAGGCCCTGGGAGTCCTGACTCACCGGGCCTGCACCTCATGTCATGACTGCTCAGCTCTGGAAGCTTCCGTGCCTCAGGGTCCTCCATCTCTACCCATGGGCAAGGGCACACTGGCTTGGTTACCTTGCCGTCTGCTCCACCCCAGGCTGTTCCTGAGGGAGTGGGCTCCCCACTTCCTCTGAGGTGATGTTGCCCCAGCAGGCAGAGGACACAGGACAGCCGTCAGCTGTCACCTCAGCTGCAGAGGCAGAGCTGCAGTTTACTTGTTTGCCACTAAGCGCTGACCTGAGATCATCGTATCACACCCATCTTACAGATGGAGAAACGGAGGCGGAGAACTGTTCATTGACTTGCTCAGATGCACATAGAAACCCAAGGCATAATCCCAGTTGGGCTGCCTCCTGCCAAGGGCTCTGGCCCTTTCTGGAAGCAGTGCGTGTCCATGACCACAGGGATGAGAGGTTTGGCAGTGTGGGGGCGGGGGGAGGTGAGGGTGTGTCCAGCCTGAGCCCCGGCAGCTGTACCAGCTGCCTCCTCCTCCCAGGTATGGGCCCACTCTCTCCACATGCCCCAGGACCCTGCTGCTCAGAACCTACTCCGGGTCATCCCCAAGGGCGAGAGGCCCCTCTCGGGGTCAGACAGCGCACCTCCCCTGGCCAGGCTCAGAGCCGCAGGGAGCAGAGGAGGGCAGCCCCACCTGGGGCTTCCTCACGTGAGTTCCCGGGGCAGGAGGGTCCTCACTGCCCGTCGCGGCAGCTGGCAGGGGAGAGGGGACTCCAAGCTGACAAGACTTGCTGGGACCACTCTCCTCACTGGCAGGAAATCTGACTCCTGGATGCCCTCAGGCCTCAGCAAGGGATGGGCTCCCCTCAGAAGCCTCGGCCTCAGCCTCTCCATCACTGCCGCCTCGCCTCGCCTGCCTCCCGGAGCACTGCCCAGCGGGGCTGCAAGCAGACGGGCAGGAAGTGGAGTGGGGAGGGGAGAGGAGGGAGGAGCGACCTCTCAGACCACTGTGGACAGCTGAGGGCCACTCCGGCCAGCCCCGTGCAGGGCTCCAGGCTCCTCCCGCTCTGGTGACCAAGGGGCTGAGGTCCAGCTGCAGTCAGCCTTGGAGCCCTGCAGGGTCCCAGAGACCATCCCGGGCAGGGGGCAGGGCTCGGCCTTCCCTGCCACACCCCCCGGGGCTGGCCAGAGAACACAGCCTCTCTGTCCGCTTAGGGTAACAATAAGTCTCCTCAGGGACCACCACTCCCAGACAAACAGCCCGGACCACACCCAGCTGTTTATCGCACAGGCCGTGGAAAGAAAAGCAGCACGGCCCCCACCCTTCCCTGCCTCCCCACCTCCCCGGGCAGCGGGCCTGCCCCTGCCACCCACATGCCACACACATGCGGACACTTGGTCCACTGCGGAAACACACCCCAGGGGCCGGCGATGGCCGGACAACAAAGCCGAGAGGCATGGAATCTGGACAAGACCTGGTGCGGAGAGCTCTCTATTGAACACACAGAGGGAGCGCTCTGCTCTCCCACCCACTCCGGGGCTTCTCTGTCCCCCATTCCTTGGCCTTGGGCCCCGGCTCATGCCATTCCGAGGTCCTCCTTGGCCACCAGTCATCAAGGGGACGGCTGCCTCCATGCCGCCCACTCCAGGGCCTCAAGTTCAGTCCGCGGAGAGCCCCTGCCCGGCGCGGCCAGCCCATGGGCCTCCTGGCCCGGCTCGCCCTGGCTCTCCCAGCGGCCAGTGCCTGCTCCAGCCCGGCCCCTCCTCACGGCTCCAGCTCCCGGGAGAGGCGGGACAGTTCCCGCTGGTTGTCGATGACCTTCAGCTGCTGGACGTAAGCCCAGGTGCTGGCTGGACTCCGGGTGCTCAGGGACTGCTCCGAGCCTAAGTGGGGGGAGGGGGGGAGGGGTGGTCGGTGGGGGGGGCACCGCGCACTTTGTAGAGCCCACCCCTCCTCCTCCAAGGAGCAAATCGGCCCCCCTGCCCTCCGCCACCGAGCCTGCCACTTCCCACGGCCGATCTAGAAGACACCCCGCCCCCCTGCTGGAGCAGAATAGCATGGTGGTCAGGAGCACAGACTGGAGAAAACAGGCCCCCCAAATTGCATACAGTTTAATACCCCTTTTACTAAGCTCAAAAACAACTAAAACTAAAGAATATTTTGTTGTCATATACATACGAGGTATTTAAAAGATGTATATGTATGTGCGTGTGCATATATATTTTACCATACATATATATAATAAACCTATTTTCCACAACAAGAAAATGAGTAACTCAAAATTCAGGAGAGTGGCTCCCCTGGGCGGGAGGGGCACGAGGACAGGAGAGAGGGACACCACTAGGGAGATGGAAGCTATTGTCAATGTCCTCATGTTTGGCTTGGGTCCAGAGGTGCCCATCGTATTATCAGAATCTACATACATACATTAAAATAATGAGGACGGTGTGGTATGAACTGTGGATTACAATGAATCCCATTTCATGCAACTGAAGGCCAATTAAAAGAACGCAGATCTGGAGTAAGAGTACCTGGGTCCCAGCTCTATCTAACCCTGTGGCTTCCACAGGCTTCTTCAAGGCTCCAGCCTGTTCGCACATCTTCAAGTTAGGATAACATTCTACCTGGCTCACAGAGGCGTTGTGAAGCGTTATCAGCATCACGTATGCGCGTGCCTGTAAATGCCAGCCATGGCCAACTCGTCAACGCCCACCCCTGCCCGCACTTACACGTGGAAATCCTGGCCGCCTGGCTGTCCTCGTGCAGGTGGGAGACTCGGCTTCTAAGCGGTGACAGAGGCACTGGCGGGTGAGAGGGGGGAGTCAGCGAGACAGGACCAAGCCAGTGCCTTGAAGGGGACATCGGTCAGGGGCACCTACCCGGGGAACCCGCCCTCTCACCGTTGCTGTGGCTTCTGCAGTGGTGCAGCATCCTCGCAGCTCTGGCCATCATTCTCTGCGGGCCAAGCAAGGACATGAGACCCGGTGTGAGGAACGGGACCCTGGTGTGGCCTGGGGCACAGCTGGAGTGCTCGTAGGAACTAGTGGCTGTAGGAGATGGGGTCCTGTCTGCTGTGCCCCAGCTCACCCAGAGACCCAGCGGGGACCAGGCTTTGGGAAGAACAGAGGTCAGGGAGGGCTTAGACGGGAGGGGGCTCCGGTTGAAGAGAGAGAGAGTTGAGGCTGTCACCCCAGCACTCCCCAGTGGAGACCAGACCCTCAGGAGGGCATGCAATGGAGTAATGGCTATTTTAAAGGAAGAATTCATGTTTATATTGTTGAGAACAACTTTAGACCATCTCCCAGCCCATCCCCGACCCCTTGCAAGGCCATCGTCATAGCCTGCAACCCATTCCAGTGTCAGGCACCCACTCTCCTCGGACTCACCATCTTCTCAAAGTTGATGAGATTCTCTACCAGCGTGTGATTTCCCTCATGGATGAAGGTCATGTCTGCAAAGAGATGGGCTTTGCTCATAGGTCCCCAAATTCCTTCCCCTTCCAGCAGCCAAGGAAAGGTGAGGGGTCAATAACAGGGAGGCTCGGGCCTGTCGTTCCCCCACATGGCCCTCTTCCTCCCCAACTAACCTCCTGGAGCGATTTCCTTGTATCTCTTAGGCCTCCTATCATTGGCCATCTAATGTCTGCATGTCTTAACTCTGCTTCTACCCTGTGAACTCCTAGTTCATCTTTGTGTCCCCCAGGGCATCAGCACACTGGAATCACTCAGAGGGTCGGATGGACACACAGGGGCAGGAATGGATGGGATGGAGACAGGGAGGTGGATACTGGCCCTCTTACCTTTGAGAAGAAGGGGCATGAACGGGATGAGGGGAGGGGAGAGCTTGGTGAGGGCCAGACGGTACACACGGTGGTTCCATGAGGGGTCCTGAGAGGGAAGAAGCCACAGTGAGAGAGGGAAGGTCCCATACACCATAACCCACCACGTGCCACAGTGCAACCAAATGCCCACCGTCCCAAGGAGAGGCCGTGCACCCATCCCCTTGGAGCTCAGCTTCCTCTCGGCCCCAGGTCTCACCAAGGCAGGCTCTGCGGAGGCGGGAGGGGGCCTGGAGCTGTGACTGCCAGTCTGCGTGATGTGGCTTCCTGGCCTCTGATTAAACCCCAAGGACACGTCGTGGCCATTATCACAGGGGCCCTGAGGTTTCATGGAAAACTCTCTCTTTTCTGTCCCTATCTCTCCCTCTCTCTCTAGTGGGCAGATTCCTTTGAACCTCTTGAGCCCCAGGAGAAGTTTTTCCTCAAGCGTCTTAGAACCCTGCTGATGAAGGTACCCTGCACTAGCTCTGCCCTGAACACTGTCAGACCTTTCAAGCTGGCACCCCTAACAGCTCCTGGCAGTGGAGGGCTCAGCTCCTGAGTCCTTTCCTCATCTTTTGGCCTGGGCTGGCACATGGGCTCCTTGAATCTCCGGAGGGGCCACTGACAGGCCCCAGAACACCATGGGGGCTGAGGTCAGGACCTGCCTCCTGAGCCCTGAGGCAGGTCAGCTGGAATCCGGCATCCCCCAGCGGTCCCCTGGCACCTCAGACCCCAGGGCCAGACACTGCCCTCATGCAGGACCCCATAGCCACGGCAAATGCCAGGGACCCAGCACACATACTGAGGGATATAGCACACTGTCCAATCATGCTCAACACCTGTTCCTCAGCCAGCACCCCAAACTCACAGGCCAAAGGGAAGCAGGCCCTGACCCAGGGTAGACAAGGGGACCCAGAAGTAGACAAGGACTGGCAGAGAGGCTGCAAGGCAGCCAAGAATCGGGGTCTCTGGAGGGAGGAACCGGGGCCCAGCACTCACCAGCAGCCTCTCGAGGGCCGAGTAGAGCTTCCGGACTTTGTGGGGCAGCCTCTGTGAAGGAGAGGCAGGCGGGGCTGTCACTGCTCTGGGGTGGGAGCCCCATCCCCAGAAAGGACCCCCAGAACGGGCAGGGGCCTGGCTCAGGACCGAGGTGGGGAGGCCGCGGCCCGCCCCGGCAGATGGCGCTCACCTCCCAGGTCTGGGCCAGGCGGCTGATGGCCGAGTTGCCAAGGCCAAACATGATGGCAAAGAAGGAATTGAGGTTCTTTTGCTCCTTGAGGCTGCGAACAGGAGACCCAGAGACCCTCAGCCACGCGCAAAGCCCCGCACCCATACAGCAGCCGGCCTGGGGTCCAGCGCCGCCCCTGCGGGCACTGGGGCCGGACGGGGTGGGGAGGCGGAGGCTCCAGGGGACCCAGGGAAGCAGGGGGCTGGTAGATTTGGCAACACCCTGCCCATGGATCGGGCATCTAAGTAAAGGCAGACTCAGGACTCCGCCCACCCAGCGCACCCAGCCCACGGGCGCTCACTGGGCGGCCAGCTTGATGAACTTCCTGAGCAGCTGGGCCCGCAGGCCGGGCACAGGACAGAGACACAGCTCTGTGGCCACCCAGTACTGCAGCTCATTGAAGCGGCGCATGAAGCGCTCCAGGTTGGCGGTGGTGACGTCCCGCAGGGGCTGGGGGCCCAGCACGTAGTGGATCAGCTCCACCTGGGCGGGGACAGCATGACAGGTCAGCGCGTGGCAGGTGGGGAGCCCACATCGCCGGCCCCCTCCCCTCTGCTCTGCCCCTGCACCTGGTGGATGCTGTTGAAGAGGCTCCAGTCGTGGTCCGTCAGCTGGCCCGCCAGGTCCTTGGTGCTCACCAGGTCCAGCCCCTCTGCAGAGCCCACGGTGGGCCCCAGCTGCTCGGGGTGTGGGGTCTGCAGGTGGGAGAGTGCTCAGGGGGGCTGCCTGGGGAATCCGGGGGAAAGGCGCAGGGTGGGAGGAGCCTCTGTGCCCAGGGTCGGAGGAATGTCAGGGAGGGCAGGGGCTGGAGGGGCATCTGATGGAGGGGCTTCCCAAGGAGGCATGTCCCAGACAGCTCCCCGACGCTGGGACCCCTCCTTGTAGGGTGCCTGTTCTCTGGGGAACCCCTGATGAGGCAGGTCTCCCCCTTCCCCCTTGAGAGCTCCCAACCAGTTCTCCCCTCCCACATCCTGGGGACTTTCCCCATTGGCTGAGGCCAACTCCTTCCTCTTCCTCCTTAAGGCCCAGCAGCAGTCAGAGCCAGCCTTCCCCGTCTTCTCCATGTGACTCTCTCCTAGCACCCACTCCTACCACCCGCAAAACTCAGCTCCTCCCCAGGCCCTGGCGCCCTGCCTGTCCCTACCAGCTTGTGCACTTCCTGAGGGTTGACAACAAAGAGCCGCTCGTTGAGTCCCAGGGATGTGGCCACACCGTGGGCATCTGGCTGCAGGCCAACAGTGTCTGCAAAGAGAGCAGAGGCTGTGCTGGGTGGGGACAGAGAGGGGGGCCAGCGAGCAACCGGAGGCAGGGTGGAGGCCCCATTTAGGAGGCTGGAAGGTCTCTTCTCCCAGTAGCAGGGTTGGAGTCCTGGGCAGGTGTTCTAAATACACAGGTGCGCATGCCCACGCATCCACACACACAGGGTAGCACGGCCCAAGGACGATGAAAGGGGAGTCTTAGTGAGACAGGCTGACGCTAGGCAACACTGGAGTCTCAGTGAGCCTCGGCTTCCTCCTTTGTCGAACGGAGACACTAAGATTTTCCCTGACTACTCACAAGTCAAATGAAATCATTGATATAAATGTAACTAGTGGCTATAAATATACGATACATATACAGGCCCTTTGAAAACTGGGGAAGGCCCTGCAGAAATCTTTGTGCGGATTTTCATCAGCTCTTGTGGACTGAGACTGTGTTTTTAGTCATGTTTGAGTCCCCAGTCCCTGGACCATCAGCTTCCAGAGTAAGGTGCACAAGACCATCCACGTGTCCAGGAAAAAACCTTAGCTCTTTCACTTTATTGGTTTTTCTCACCTGTTTTGCACTTCTATTTTGTGTGTTGTGTTATGATCATGTAACATTAGGGTAGGAATATATGTATGTGACTTACAAGGAAATATACACATATTATGGAGTTTGTAATAAAATATTGAGGCACGTAGGGTCTCAATAAACACTGGCTTAGGACAACTGCAACTTGCCAGGTAGCCACCAGAGGGCAGTGCTTCCCAGAGCAGCGCATAGGCACAGGTGACCTCATCCTCTCTCCCCACTTCCTGAAGGAAGGAGGCTTTGCCAGTCTCCCTGCCATTCCTTGCCATTATTCTCAGCTGCCTACCCTGGGCTCCAGCTGTCAGACCTGGGCTGTGTCCTTCATGGACAACAGTGGTTTTCAATGTCCCAAGTTCTCCAAAGGCAGGTCTTAATAATCCTCATGTTGCCGTATTCCGAGCACCAACTTTATGCTGGGTCCCATGCTAACAGCTTTAAACACAGTAGCTTATTTAATAGCCACAGCAGTCCTATGTGATAGGTACAGTCACAGTGCTCATTCGACAGACGAGGAAACCGAAGTTCACAGAGGTTAAACGACTCGCCCAGGATCCCACAGCTAGTAAGCAGTGGGTCTGGGATTCCAGCTCAGATCTGGGAGTCCACTGTCTAGGCTCTTAACCGTCAAGCTGCTCTATCTTACCTGCCATGGTACCTCTACCTCCTAACACACTGCTGGCCCACAGCTGACCCTCAAAGATGACTACAGACTAAATGAGCAACTACCCGAATTCAAAGGCTGTCGACACTCTCACTGTGTGAACTTGGGAAAATCACTGAACCCCTTTGAGCTTAAGTTTCCTTGTCTGAAAATAGGATCAAAATACCTATCTCATAAGATTGCTATTAGGGCTAAATAAATATGTAAGCATGATAATGATGTAGCAGTAGCTACGTAATAACAGATAATAATGTAGTGCTGACTATGGGTCAGACAGCATTCTAAACACTTTTATAGATTAGCTCATTTATCCTCACAATGCCTCTATGAAGCAGGCACTCTTTTCGTCCCCATTTTACACATGATGAAACAGAGCCCAGAGAGATTAAGCATCCTGCCCAGGGACAGAGAGAAGGGAGCCAAAGGGCAGAAGTCAAATGTGGGCAACAGGCCCCAGAGTCCATGCTCTTCACCACATGCAAAGCACTTTGAAGAGATGTAAGAAACCTCCCAATAAATGCCAACCATCGCTAACATGATAAAGATAATAAAGATGATGATAATCTTAATTCGGGGGATGGGCACGGCTCTGAGGGGGTCCCCTCCCTCGGGGCCACCCTACCCGGAGACACAACTCACCACCCGCAGAGTTCACCTTCACCAGCACCTGCCCCTTAGTCCAGCCGTCCTCCTGGGCCAACGCCGCCATCACCTCTCTCACTGAGGCCGTCACAGGCAGCTGCAGGGTCAGCACCGAGTGGTCCGGCCGGCAGATGTCATAGGGGACTGGAGAGGAAGGCTGGCTGAGCTGTGTGTGTGGGGGGGGCGCTGCTTGGTCTCCCCACCCCAGGAGGGAGAGGGTAGCGACTGCAGCGGAGGGAGGGTCCCGAGCAGGGGGGGCAAGGGCGCTACGGAGTAGCTTGGGTGGGTGGGAGGCCCTGAGCCAAGGAGAGGGGGAGCCTGGAACACAGACCCCGAGGAGCGTGGCATGCCATCCTCGGCCAGGCGCCCCAAGGTCAAGGGTGATGACAGTAGTGTTCGAGCTATGAACTGGCTGGCTTGGACAGACCACCAACCTTTGTCCCCGACTCGGATGGCACAGTTGCTGCTGGGGAGAGGTTCATCCTGGCTGGGGAGCCAAACAGGCATGTTCCGGGCCTGAGAGGGAGAGAAAGTAAGGCCGGGAGGACACAGGAGAGCATGCAGGGACGGGGAGGGGCCTCTGTCACCAGGAGCATGGCACCCGCGGGGCACGCACACCACCCTGGGGCTCTGCTTGGCCCATGAATCTGGGCCAGGTAAGGCGCTGGGGACTGAGGCTCCTGGAGGAGACAGAGCAAAGTCTGTGCCCCTCTACGTGTGTGTTACCCCCTCTACCAGATGGGTCTAGAATTGCTCTAATACGAACACACCTCAGCTGTTGATCTCGGTTTTTTCCTCCTTCAGCTACCATTTGCTACTTGCTACATGCCAGGCTAAGTACAGGCATCTTTTAAGTATCTAAATAGTCACAAAAGCCCTTTGACAAAATATTATTATCCTCATTTTATAGATGAGATCAGTGAGGCTCAGAGAGGTTAAGTAACATACCCAAAGAAACACAGCTGCTAAGTGGCCCAGCTGGAATCCTAACCCGCCACCTGTGCCCCCCCACACACACCCCGCTCTTGTCCACCAGCACTCAACTGTGTCAGCTGCCCCGTCACCCCACAGCCCTTCCTCCATGGCCCCACCACAGTGGGCTGCTGGGGAGCCCCCGCTGGCCAGAGGCCTCCCTCACACAGCTCCTCTGCACACCGACCACTCTTTCTAACTCTTGTACTGACTCTCTACCTGCTCTGAAGGTGGCAGATCAGCTTCAGACCTTGGTTCACGGCTCTTCCCTGGATTTCCAGATCTCTGCGCTCCCCTCCGAGCTCCCCCCAGCCTCACGCACCCTCCCACTCCACCCCACCCCCGCAGATGGAAGACTCTTAAAACCATACCACTGAGCACTGAATTTTCTTCCAGGCCCTGGTCTCAAATGCCTCCTGGATCCTCCCGCGTCTGTGCTCCACCACCCCAAACTCAACACACCCCTCGGATCCCTCATCCCACCTGCCAGGCTACTCTTCGGCCATTCCCCTGGGCTCACGGCTCCTGCTGCCCAGCCCCCGCATCCCCACGGCATGTCATCTAGTCCTGGGATCTCCGTGTGCCCCCCTCCCCAGCCCAGGCCAACCTCAGGGTCCACCAGCCCGTGTGTTGCCTCACTCTTTATCTACTAAAACGGCCCAACTATTCTCCACCAGCCTCACCTCTCGGGTGCCTCCCTCTCTTCCACTGCCATCTGCCTGACCAGAGCCAGATTAAGCTTCCTATCACGGCTTCCACCGTCACTGTCTGCTGGATAAAGCGCAGGCTCCTCAGCTGACCCATGCAATACACAAATCTCATCTTGTCAATCCTCGGCTCAGACACCTTCAATGGCTCACACTGCTCTGGTGACAAAGGCCAGGCCCCTTACCGTGGCCCACGGTGGGGGGGGGTGGGCACCTGCTCCGGCCCCTGCCCACCTCCCCCCTCTCCTCCAGGCCCAGCGGTCGCTTCTCCCTGACCCTGACCCGGAGTCAGCCCTCCCCTTCCCGTCTCCAGAGACCCCTTATACAGCATGTCTTCGCCCTTATACAGCATGAGATTGCCCTGCAGCCCCGTCCCTCGCTTCACTGCAAGCCCCTCGAGGCCAGGGTGGCTCCCCCAGCCCCCTACGGCACCCTCGGCACCTAACGCAGTGGCCGCCGGCCATTCCCTGAGTGGCAACCACAGGCTGGGGAGACAGAGGTCAAGGCCCTTCACGCGGGCATTCTAGTGGGACATGACAGACACCAACAGACAATAAGCAAGTACACAAACAAAGAAAACAATTGCACTGGGATAATGCTTTGAGGAAAACCATAGAGGACACCTTGGAGGGGAGCCGGTGGGAGAGGGGCCAGCAGGTAAGGGCAGGAGACTGAGGAGGGGCTGAGCTTCACCTTTAGCCGAAAAGGAGCCTGCGAGGAGGAGGGGGGAGCAGGATGAGGTGCGAGAAGCAGCTGGGCGCTGCAGGCCCAGGTGAGGCATCTAGGTGTTATTCCCAATGCATGAGCCCCCAGCCAGCCCCAACTTAACTGCCCAGCCCCTTCCGCCCCATCCCTCAAATCTCGCGCCCATCACGGCTCTTCCTCCTGCTTCCCCCCGCCCCCGCCGCCCGCTGCTGGAAATGGCACTGGGATATCGGCCTGCCTTCCTCTGGGCTCCCTGCACTGGCCCCCAGGAACCCCTGGGCTTCCGAGGCTACCCCCAGGCACCACCCCTCACCTCCCAGGTGGGAACTGCTAACTGGCTCTAACTGTGAGCACGAATCACCTCCCAGATGGAATAAAAGCCCCCTGGCTTGGGGGGGAGGCGGGGGAAGCAGTGACCTTAGACCTCTGTGTCTCCCTGCAGGGCCTGGCCCCAGCGCCACATGCAGCCTGAGCTCCATGAACACCTATCCCAGACCCAAGGATGTGCCTGGGGCCGACAGGGGACGGGGGGCTGCCCACGCAGAGCCCCTTAGGTAGGGGCTGAAGGAGGGGCCCGGCGGTCCCTGGAGGAGTGGGGACAGCTGGGGCCCCGCAGAAGCGAGAGGACCTCATTCGGGGCAGACACCTTCATCTGTGGAGATGCGTTCCCACAGCCATTTTCCAACCTGTGGAGCAAGAGAGGAGCGAGGTGAGACCGGCGGGCAGGGCCCACTGCAGGCGGGATGACATGGGGTCAGGAGCAGAGAGGATGACACGGGCTCTGGATTCTACCCGCCCTCACCAGAGGCTCAGAGGTTTGCAGATTTGGTGAGGATCAAAGATTTGGTGAGACAGGCAAGACTTGAAATCCAGCCCCTGGATCCTGGGATTTTCCCAGGCCAGCAAGGGAGGGAAAGAGAGCTCAAGGGAGAAAGGGACGCGGTGTCAGGGCAGGCAGCCTGCACAGGAGCTCTCCCTGGACCTCAGCCGCCCCCATGGGATGCCTGGGAGGGCGGGAAGGTCTCGGAGGGCGAGGTAAATGCTAGGAAATTGACCGGGCTGGCCGGCAGGAGCTGGCACCAAGGGTGCTTGGCAATAATTAGGAGGCAGTGAACACAGCAGGTGTGCTGGGGCTAGAAGGATGGCCCACGAATGACTGTGGCTGCATGAGCATACGGAGGAGCACGTGATGGGAGGGTGAGTAGCGAGGGGACCGGTAAGAACACTAACAAGTCTAGACAAGTGAGCACAGCACACCCTGAGCTGCACTCTTCAGGTGCAGTGAGGGGTAGGTATTCTCCCAGTTTTACAGACAAGAGCTGAAGCCCTAGGGGGTGGGGGGGTGAGGGTAATGGGCTCAGGGCAGCATAGCTACAGTGGTGCAGCCTGGATTTAAGCCACGTGTTTGGCCCCAGAGGCAGTGCTCTCCATCCCCGCTGTGCCGCCCGTCCCCCAGGTGACGAGTTAACTTGAGCCAAAGCATCACCTGTGGTGTCGCCGCCTCTCTGGCCACTGCTCCCGCAGCAGGTTGCTAAGCCGGGCATCCCTGCTCACCAGGTCTGACAGTTTCTGGGAGGAGCCAAGGTTCACTGAGACTCCACGTCCACCCCGGGCAGCCCGGTCCAGCCCTGCCTCACCCCCAGGTACCTGGAGGAAGCTGGTGGCCACAGGGTCGGTGTGGAGCATGGGGCCGTACAGGGCCACCCATTGGCTGACCAGCCGCAGGATCTGTTGTCTCTTGTTGCAGACGTAGGTGCTGCACTCCTGCTCGCTGCCTCCCACGGGCTCCGCGTGGAAAGTGGGCACCAGTCAAGGGAACCACGACATCTAACCAGACCAGCCACCACACCTTGGGCAAGGGAGGGGCAGGAGGCCCAGAGCCCATGCACAAGCTGGGCCTGGCATGATGCTGGCACTTTGGAGGGTTCGGCACAGCCATGATACGAGGGATTCCTTCTCCCCACTCCACACACCATCCTAATCCCCTGGGGCTGGAAGGATATTGGTGCAGGAGGGCAGCGCAAAGCTGGGCAGTGGGCATGAAGACACTGTGGGTCAGGAGGAAGTCGCTGAGGAATGTCTCTGTAGGGCAGGGACAGGGGACAGGTGGGGGCTTCAGCGGTCAAGTCTACTGAGCACAAGTATATGCACAGCTGGAGCATCCCTTTCCCCAATCCCACCACGGGCAAGGGACCGGCGATGCCCAATCCCTGTCACCGCGCTTCCCACCCAAACCAAGAACACAGGAATGCAAACTTCCCGTCAACTGACCAAATGGACCAAACTAGCACCCGATGAGGTCAGACGGCAGGGTGCCTGGCCCTCTCCCATGCTGTGCTGACCACCCAATGAGTCAGAGAGCAGTCAGGGTGTCTCCTGCCCCTACCTGTTGGGTCATGAGCACTGGAATCAGGCCGCATGGCCTCCAACAGAAGTTCTAGGATCTTCTCCGGGGTGCCAGACATCACTATATACCTAGCAGAAGCGGCCAGTCCATAGCACTTATACCACCACTCCCCTTCCCACAGCCGGGCAGACATCAATAATCAATCATATCACTCATTCCTATTTGCCAGCCCTCTCTCACCTTGGGGTGGAGGGGGGACCAACTCAGGGGATGCCTCTTAGTCCCTGGAAGCCTCTCCACCCCCAGGTGGCCAGAGGGCAGGGGTATGACACGGGGAAGGGAGTAAAGCCTGGGAAATGGAAGGAGAGGAGGTGGGCAAGAGAGGTGGTATGGAAAGGGAGCATGGTGGGTATGTTACCGGTTCCTGCCTGGGGTTGGGGGACGAGAAGGGCCAGTGCCCTGAGAGGTTCTCTCCAACACCAACACCACTTTGCCATGTTCTTCTAGCCTCATGGTCTTTGCTTCCACATCCTGGAGAACAAGCCAACACCCAGTGCTCAACATACACCATGACTCCTTTCCCCACCCTACAGCTTCTCCCTCTCCCTCCCCCATTCCAAACGCTGAACCCCACAAGGCTCCCACAGGGACCCTCAGCCCTTCTCCCACTCCATTCAGTGCCCATGACCTTGGTTTTAACCCCCACTCCTACCCCTGCCCATCACCCAGCCTGAGCCCTTCCTCCACCCCATCCCTCCCAGGGCTCCCTCCGTGGATCCCACGCTCCATTATGCTGCATCCCCTTGCACCCTAGACCCCCACCCCTCTGTAACCCCAGCCCTCTGGTCTCCCACCCGAGCCAGGGTCCCCAGGGCTCGCTGACCCTCCTCACACACGCAGGGCTGGGCTGCCACCTGCAGCCATCGCCCCGAGCTTCTCCACCCTCGACCTCTCCTTGACCCTTAAAGGCTCTCTCTGGTCTTTACTCTTTGCCCCACACCACTTCTCCAGAGACATGTCCCTGCCACGTCCCCTGCCGTCCCCACCCCCAGCAATGGCACCTTGATGATACGGTTGAAGTCCTGCTTGTCCACACGAAGAAAATGGCAGTTGTCCTCTCGCAGGATGATGGTGGCTGCCCGGGGTGCGTCGTTCACCAGAGCCAGCTGTCCGAAGTCGTCTCCCTCGTGCACTGTGGTCACCAGGCCCTGCAGCCAGGCCTGAGTCACAGCCCAGCCCCGCTGCCCAGCCCTCGCCGGGACAGACCCATGGTGGACAGAGCCACCAAGGCAGGAGGAGACCCGGGAGATCGGCAGCCTTGGGTCTATTAAAGGCACTGCCCATGAGGTCAAGGACCAGAGAGCAGTTACACCCCAGGGGGCTGGGCAGGGAGGGAATACTCACCTTGCCGTGGGTCACCACATTGACAGATCCCTTCCAGATGATGTACCAAGAGGTGCCCTTGTCCCCCTGGCTGAACACTGAGAGAAGCACAGATCAGACATGCCCCCAGGGACCCATCACTTCTTCCCTGTGGCCTCCGCCCATGTCCAGGTCCCTGGTGCCCAGCTTCCCATCCCGTCTGACTTACACACGGTCCCTGCCTTGCTGTGTGGTTCAAAGAGCAGAACTGCCGCTAATTCCCGCTTCACCTGGGGGTGGGGAGAGGAGGGTCAATGAGGTGAGTTCAGGGGAAGAGGGAGCATGTGAGGCGGTTAGGTCCAAAGCCACAAGTGCTCAGGGGACAGAGATGTAGTTAGGTCAGGTGACCTGGGATTCAGCGGGAGACAAAGCAAGGGGAAGAAATGGGCAAAGAGAGGCAGAAGGGCTTTCAGATAAGCATGCCGGGGGCAAGAAATTAGACTGAGGTTTCCCAGCCACAGGCAGAAGGGGAGGGGAATGTCTTCTGGCCCAGCAGCGCTCACAGGGAAGGGAGGCTTGGGGGTGGGGAGGGCAGGGCTGGGTCGGGGGACTGACCGAGTTGGAGAGGTGGGCCACGGCCTTGATGTGCAGCAGCTCCTCAAAGATGAGGTCCAGCTCCTCGTCTGTGCGCTGACCGGGGCTGCGGGCACAGGAAGGCGGGGAAGAAGTGATGAGCTGTGGGCCCAAGGCCAAGAGCGGGAAGCCACCACGTCCACCCAGCTTGGGCCTGGGCCAGCCGGTGCCCCGGCAGTGGCTGTTTATCAATAGTGGGCCAGCCTTTACCGGGAGCACACTGTGTGCCAGACACTGGGCCATGCGCTGTACACGCATTACCTCATTCCACCCTCACGACAACCCCATGACGTGGGTATTGTTATCCTTTGACAGAAGAGGAAGCCGGCATGGAGAGGCCCAAGGTCACCGAGCTAGTAGCCAGTGGAACTGGAATTTGAACGCAGACCCGCCGGTGGAGTCCAAAGCCCTCCGTCTCTCTGCATCGCAGAGTGGGCAGCGTCTTCGGAGGCCACGTGTCCCACAGCCTCAGTTACAGAGGGAGGACCATGTTCAGAGGGGGAAGGAGGGCTCGAGATCACACAGCAAGTCCATGGCGGAATGCAGACCAGAGCTCAGGCCTCTGGTCCAGCCAGGGTCCCTTCCCTCCACAAAAAGTAAGTCACCACCCCCTCAGAGGGGAAACCGAAACTACCGAGTCCGAGAGCAGGGCCGCGAGATGCAAGGCGCCCGACTTACGGCTTTCGAAGCGCCACCGTGAGCAGGGCGTCAGGCCCCCGCTGGGAGAGCAGGGCCAGAGCCTCAACGAACTCCTCCTCCAGCTCGTGGAGGCCTGCAGGCTCCGGCTCCGGCCCGGGGAAACGGTAGAATTGGGTATCTCGATCCTGGAAGGCCCAGTCGTGTTTCACTGGGGGGCAGAGGCCCAGGCGTGGGGGAGGAGAGGAAATTGAGGCCACGTGGGTATGAGGCCCCCTGCTGCAATGCCCACCAGCAATGCCCACCAGTGCCTGCTCCCCAGGACTGCCCAGCCCCGGGCACCCACCCAGGGCTAGGGCTCACCATGACAGAGGGCACCTTCATCCAGCAGCACCTGGCAGATTCCCACGGCTTGGCTCCGGGAATGGACCCCCAGCCCCAGGGCCAAGATCCCATCCACCAGTTCCCGGCCAGAGCAGCATTGCCTGGGAGGTGAAGGGGCCAGGGAAGAAGAAGGAGTCTCAAATGGCAGGACGGGAGAGGCGAGAGGGAAGAACACTCCATCTGAAAGACACCTTGGTCTAGAAGCAGGGCTGGGCCCAGGTGCCTGGACAGAGTGAGAGGGAAAGAAAACAGGGGGTGGGGAGGGTTTGGAGGGGGTGGGCAAGGAGGTAGCCAAGGCCACTACTCACCGGTGGAGTCGGAGGTGGTACTTTCGGTCTCGGATGAGGTTGGGGCAGGTGGCCAGGAGGTGCCGATGCAGCTGCCTCCCAGCCCTCAGCACCCGCTCCGTGGAGGCCTAGCGGCGGGGAGAGGCACAGCTGGCTCAGGCCCTGAAGCCCTCGCTGTGCTGCCGCCTCCCAGCTCCACCCCTCGTGGCTTGTACCTGCTCGAGGCTCACGCTGAAATCCAGGGACTCCTCGCTGTTGGCGAGTGGCGTCTGAGGGCAGTGGGAGGGTTTGAGTGTTAGTGCCAGGCCTTTAAACCCAGCTGTCAGATGCCCACCCCTGTCAGTCCCAGCCCCTGCCCAGTCCCCGACTCCAGGCGTCCACTTAGCTACTCTTTCAACAAATACTCACTGAGCACCCCCCATATGCCAGGCGTCCGCCTCATGCCCGCCCTGCTGCCCTATCCCCAGACCCTTGTCTTGCTTCCTGACTCCAGAGGTGCATCCCCACAGATGAGATTCCAGTTCTGCTTACTCAGGGCCCAGGTGTGCCCAGGCTCCCAGGTAAACTGCACCGTGTAGGGAAGGGGCACAGTGGAGCTGCGGGGAGCATGACGACATGAGATAAGAAGGCCAGGGAGAGGCCAGAAAGTGAGCAGCTCGGGAGGCCTGGAGTCTCAGGGCCTGCTGCCAAGCCAGGGTCAGTCCCCAGTCACAGGGCCGTGGGCGAAACTCCTGCCCTCTGTGGGCCTCGGTGCAGACTGGTAGTTAAAAATACAAACCCTGGAGCCGACTCCTGGATTCAAATCCCTGCTCCTCTGTTTACTAGCAGTGTGACTCTGAATATATGATTTAACCTCTCCCTGCCTATAAATCTATAAAACATTCCTAACAACAATTCAGGCTTTAGGAAGGATTATGTGAGTTAATAGAGATCACATGTTTAAAGCACTGCCTGACATATACATGTAGTTGTATATACATGTTAGTTATTATTACTGATCTGTGAAGCTGGAAAGCCCCTTTCCTCTCCAAGATGCTGTCGCTGCTAGCTCATAAATAACCCTGTAACAGTGAGTCAGTCTTGGTAGCGCACAGGACAGCTCTGGAAGACGGGGTTTACGTACAAATCATTGGTGAACGAGGTTTCCCTGCCCTTGGCATCAACTGGGCATCCGGGACTCCTGGGCCTGTGTGCCCTGGGATGTCGGCCATGAAAGCCTCCCATGCCCCTCTTTTCCTGCCACCTGAGAACTGGAATTTGTGGACATCTCTGGACAGGATGCCCTACCCTCTATGAGCCATCCCAAAGGCAGGCACTTGAAGTTTACAAAGTATGTCTACCTCCGTGATTTCATCTGATCTCATATAGAATAGGATCAGATGGGAAGTAGGCAGAGCAGGTATTGTCTATCCCCCCTGACTTAGGAAGAAACAAAAGTCTAGAGGTGAAGTGCCCTTGTAACTCAGACACAGCTGTACAGCCACGGATAAACTCAAGTTCCTACCAGAAGTGCTCACAGTCTTGGTCCCACTCCACCCACCACACCTGCCTGTTTCCTCTCCCGTCCCACTTCTCTCTGCTGCTTTCCCATCCGCACACAGGGCCTGAAGAAGACCTGGCTGGGGAGCTAGGGTACGACCAGGCCTGGGGCCACAGTCCCCTCCCCTGGTCCCAGCATCCTCCCACCGTGTGCCAGGCAGAGGCCTGAGGTCTGGCGCGCGTAGGTGCCTGGCCCAATGCCGGGCGGAAGTCGCTAGGTGTCCCATAGGTATCCCTGACCCGGTCATGGGGCCCATCCTGGTGCCAGACATAGCCCTGGAGACTTAGTGACAGGAAACGAGGTGGAGGAAGGGCAGGAGTTCTACCCAGCCAGCCCCCTGTGTTGGAACAAACAGTACCGAGTGCTAATGACTTGTTGTTGTAGCTGTCAGAGTGCCCAGGTGGCCCCAGTCCCTGCCCCAAGTCCCTTCGGTGCCCACGACCCAGGCTCCCGCGCACACACACTCCCTTCCTGGTATTATTGTGACCCCGGAGGGCACATCAGGAGGGGAGGTGCCTGGTCATGTGGCCAGGCTGGTCAAGATTCAGATCTCAGATCCTCAGGCCTTGCTTAAAGCACTTCCTGTCCTGCCCCAGGGGATGTGCACAGAGGCTGGAGGCTCGGAAGCTGGGGGCTCTGGCCCATCAGAGCTGAGGAAGGCATCCTTCTCATTTTGCGAGGAAAGCAGGAGCCCAGAGGGATGAAGCAACTTGCCCAGAGTCACACAACCGCTTAGAAATTTAAGATCCCACTGCATAACCCTACCAACGCTGACCCTGAAGTAGGTGTTTGTCTCCTATTTCACAGCTAGAGAAAAGGAGGCTCAGAGGTTACATAACCTGCCCTGTGAGCCGGTAAACAGGAGCACCAGGATTCACGCTGTGCCTCTCTGACTCCAAAGCCCATGTCCTTAGCCACCAAGCCCTACCATATCCCATGGTGCCTCCGCGGCCCCGTGCTTCCCCCACCGTGTACCATGAAAGCAGAGATGATAGAGGTGAATGCTGCCCTCGGGAATGTTCCACGGGCAAGGAAGTTTGGAAAATACTGGGTTAGACAAAGTTCCATAGCCCCCCTGGACCACTGTCATGTTCCCGGTGCACCAGGACTTCCCAGCATCGGGGTGGAGGTGCTATTCCAGAGCAGCTCCGGAGCCAGGCACCTGGGTTCAAATCTTGGTTCCCCATTACCAGCTGGTTGTGTGACCTTGGGCTGCTTATAAATCTCTCTGTGCTTCAGCTTTCTGTAACATGGGGTTGATGACAACAGTACCTATCCCACAGGGTAATTCTGAGGATCAGATGAGTTGATAACATGAAGTATTCGAAGCCGTGCCTGCTCTGTAGTAACTACTTAGTCAGTGTTAAGTACCTTGATGTAACATTATTATTTCATGCTGGGCACCTGTCATCTGGACACAGTGCAAGAAATGTTGTACTTCCGCTGACCCTGTCCCTGATCTGATAACCCTGAGTGTCAGCTTAGAGGGTTCTCAGCTGGAAAGCAGTGGCTGGTATGGCAGGGGTGAAGGCCCTCGCCCACCGCCTCCTCTCATGTCTGGACAGGAAGGACTCAGGGTGGAAGAGGAGGTCCCAGCTAGCTTCCCTGGCACCAGCACCATGGCCTGCTCCACCCCCGTCACTGAGGGTCAGAGTCGCACTGGAGGGGCAGGCACAGAGCCAGAAAGCCATGTTGGGACCCGTCAGACCAGTTCCGTTAGGCCACAGCTAGGGTCTCAGGCCAGGGCTGTGTATGATGGGACTGGGAAAGGATGCATGAGTGGGGGTGATGTTTTGGGGTGCCGGTGTCACCACCCGCAGCAATAGAAAGTCCACTACGAGCTTGAACTCTGCAGCCAGATCGCCTAGGACCCAAACCCAGCTTTGTCCCTTAGCAGCTGTGTAACCCTAGGCCTGTCACTTGGCCTCTCTGTGCTTCTGCTTTCGCATCTATAAAATGAGGTGATGGCATTAGTAGCTATCTCACAGGGCTGTTGTGAGATTACCTGATATGACAAAGTAAAGCTCATAATAGCTCCTGGGATATAAATACTACACAACGATTAGCTACTACCACGATTTGGACAGGTTGGATGAAAGCACGTTTTCTGAGTTAGAGAATAGAGCCACGTCTCCCAAATAAGTCACTCAAAGAGAAGCATCCCAGGCTTCTCTGAGCTGGTAGGACCCACCAAAGGTCATCCTGATCTCGCCCCTGCCTCTAGACAGATTGGTCCCTCTGTAGGCTCCCGGACATCAGACAAGATCTCATCTCCCCGTCATGTTTTCCAAAGGAGATGTCCTTCCATCCCATTCCAGCATCAGCTTTGCCATGGTTGGTAAGTCCTTTCTGCATCTAACCTCAGGTCCTCCTGCTGTAACCTGCTTTTATTTTCTCTTGTCCTGGTCTAGTAGGAACAGAAAGTGCTCTCTTCAGACCTCAGGAGGTTGATGGGTTTCCCCCTTGATTTTCTAAGAGGGGGGCATGGCCTGAATAACTCCCAGCACTGCCCTCCTGGGACTCCGGGCCCCACCTCCTTTCAACATCCACCCTTCACCCTGTGTGTGCACGCTCCCTGCCGGGTACTTGTTCCCTCATGTGAGCCCCTCCTCAGCCAAAGGCATCATCCAGAGAAGAGAGGTATAGCTCACAGGTACCCAGAGTCTCTTAAACACAGACGCCGTATGCTAACACATATATATGGAATCTAAGGAAAAAAAAAAAAAAAAAAAAAAAAAAAGGTCATGAAGAACCTAGGGGTAAGATGGGGATAAAGACATAGGCCTACTAGAGCGTGGACTTGAGGATATGGGGAGGGGGAAGGGTAAGCTGTGACAAAGTGAGAGAGTGGCATGGACATATATACACTACCAAACGTAAAATAGATAGCTAGTGGGAAGCAGCCACACAGCACAGGGAGATCAGCTCGGTGCTTTGTGACCACCTAGAGGGGTGGGATAGGGAGGGTGGGAGGGAGGGAGACGCAAGAGGGAAGAGATATGGGAACATATGTATATGTATAGCTGATTCACTTTGTTATAAAGCAGAAACTAACACACCATTGTAAAGCAATGATACTCCAATAAAGATGTTAAAAAAAACAAAACAAAACACAGACGCAACGGGCTGAAACCACCTCTGCCCCCCCACTCCCCAGAGATGGTCCTCAGGAGAGGATGTGCCCTGTCTCTAGCCCTGAAAATCTAAGTTCCCTCTAATCACCAACACCCACACATACCTGGCAGGGGAGGGGCTTTGTTTCTGTGCCTCTGACCCCATTTTTTACTCCATTTTTTTTTAACCCTCACCCTCACTCTTCCAGCCTCCCCATGCATACCAGCCCTTCAATTCTGGGGGACTGGGGGAGCCAGGAGACAGCCTGGCGGCCTCCTCCACCCCCTCCCAGACTTTGGGTCCCAGGGGATCCTCCAGTGACCTCATTGTCCTGGCACCTGACCTTCCCCCCACTCCCCACCTTGCCTCTGCAAGCTGGGAAGGGGACAGGAAATGCACAAGTAATTATAGCCTGAGAGGGAAAGAGGGAGGGAGGGTTCCAGCCCACTGGCTCCAAGCAGTAGCTCCTGCCAGTGACCTGGGGGGTGAGGGGGGCAGACAGCGAAGCTCAGAGGGAACCCAGCTCCCCTGCCCCCTCCAGAGCGTCATCTGGAACAGGACCCAGGCCCATGAGGCCCCTTGTCAGGAAGACCCAGGGAGGGAGGGGTTGGGGGAGAGCTGGGGACTGACACCTAGATTCTCCTCCCGATTCCCATTGCAAGGAGAACCCCATCACCTTGGTGCGCTTCAGTTTTCTCAACCCAGCTTCATATTTTGGTAAATATAAATGGTGGTTGGGTGAGGTAGGAGGAAGGAGGCAGAAAGTGGTGGTCATTCTACTCAAAGGGATTTGCTGATAAGAGAGGAGCTATCCCAAGCCCTGCTTTCTCTCCGCCCCTTTGCCCAAGCACTCTCCCCGCACTCACCTCCACCCAGGCTGGGCACAGGTAATAGACACACCGAATCTCAGGTGAAGAACCTATTAAGTCTGGGTGGCTGGGGAGAGCTTCTCTGCTGATTTGGATCCTGCAACCTTTTTCCTGCCCCCCCAGCCCCCTCACATCCTTCCCCCACACCCTTTCTGCTTCATTCTTGCAGCTCCAGAGAGATTCTTCACCGGCAAAGGGAGCTCCATTCATCTCAGAGCCTCCAAACTTCTCAGAATTCTCCCCTGAGCCCCTCAAAGCCAGATGCCAAGCAATGTTCACATGACCACCTCACCCCGAGATCCAAAAGCAGACTCGATGCAGTTCAGCCCTCACTAAAGGAGAATGTTGTCGCGGTGATGTTTAACGAACAGTAACCAAGCTTACCTCACCCCCCCGCAACTTGACCTGGTCCCCAGCATTTCATACGTGCCTCCCACCACCACCTGGAGAACACGCAAGCACCTAACTCAAGGCACACAGAGGCGACAACTAAATGACAAATCCCTTTACCCCTCCCCTCATGCCTGAATGGGGGGACTTGGGCACCACATGCGCAGGCAGTGCAGCTGTGTGAGCCACCCACACACTGCAACCAAGCTGCCTGACCCGCTGTCCACCCCAGCTGTCCCCCTCATGCCCCCAGAGCAAGCTGGGCCACCAGGAGCATGCCCGTTCTTCCAATCAGGGCTCCCTCCAGCCCTGGTGCCTGGCCCGGGCAGGGGATGGGCACTCACCCAGCGAAGCCCCTGGATGCAGCTGGGGCGCTGGTGCTCGAGAAGCAGCTGGTAGGAGCAGCTTCGGGACCGATGCACCCTCCTCAGCACCATGTTGAGCAGCGTCCCCTCCGGCACCACGTCCGGGAGCCCTCCCACCGGCGCTGCTCCCAGAACTGAGCTGTCCTCCACAGCCAGGCCCACCTGCCAGCGGCTTTCACCTGGCCAGCTCACCTGTGACGGGAAGAGGAGGGCAGACAGCCATGAGGCCGGGCCTGGGGCAGCTGGACCAAGGCACAACTGCCCCAGGCAGAACCACTTCCTTAGAGTCCTCTGGACTGGTCAGGCGGAGGTGCTGCATCCCTGCCAGGAGCCGGGGGAGGGACAGGAAGACCTTCACTGGGGCCTGCCGGTCTGGCGCACTTAGGGGTCTCCAGCTGGCGCACCAGAGATCAGGTCCTTCTTCCCGGTCTTCTGGGGAATTCTGCCCCACTCCACCACCCATGGCCCTGCAGGGATCTCCACCGACTCCCGGTATGAGACTACGGACTCTGGATGCCCCAGAAATGCAGCTTCAGCTCAAACCATTCGTTTCTCCACCTCCCTCACCCCTGACCAAGCCTCTCTCTCCCACCCCAACTCCCCGACCGTGCCAGCTTCCTCTCCGGCTCCTCCTCCCCCTAACCCCACCTTACCCACCTTCATATTCCTCCTCGAGCTCGCACAGCCGTGCAGCCTCTAGCAAAAGGCGGGGGCTGACGGGAGACCCCCCCGCCCCCCTTCCCCCCGCCAACAGCGAGCCCCTGCTGTAAGTCCCAGGCGAAGTGAGCAGGCCAATTCCTGGCTGGACCCGCTGCCAGGGCAGCCCGAGCCAGGCTGGGTTGAGAGGCTCCTCTTGGGTGGGGGGAAAGCTGGGGACTTGAGGGGCGGTGTTCCCCCACCCCCAGCGACAAGGAGCCCCGAGCCTCCCCTCCGTCCCAGACGAAAGAGCCAGCTGGCACCGGGCGCTGAAGCGAGGCTGCAGCTGGCACTGGTCCGGGCGGGAGCTGTCACACCCCCTGCGTGGCCCGCCCTCTTCCCTTCCCGGGAAGGACCGGGAGGGCGGGGAGGGCGCGCCAGGCCTTACAGTAGGGAAGGGGGCGGGGGCGGGGGCGGGCACGGGCGAGGGGCGGAGTCTCGAGCCCAGGGTGAGCCGAGCCGGCGGGAGCCCGGGCCCCGAGAAACCCTGGCGGGCCGGAGCGCCCTTGGGTTGCGAGCCGGGGCCGCGGCGGCGGGGGTGTCGGGCTAGGGTCTGCGGGCCGCTACACCGGCCGCCACGTGGCCGGGAGGAGAAATGCAAACAAGGAAACCGGGGGAAGGGGGAAGGGGGTGAGTCATTGCGGCCCCACCCGGGAGGGAAATCCGGGCTGGGGCCGCTTCCCGGCCGGCCGGGGGCCTCCTGCCTCCTGTTTCGGTTCAGGGTCTCGAACAGGCCGGGGGAGGGATGGGGCCGTTTTCCCGCAGGGAATCCCGCTGCCGAGCCTCCCACTGCCGCGCTTCTATGCACACACCCCGTCCGCCCCCTTCTCCCCGCCCTACACACACACACACCCGCCGCGGGTGGGGACACTGAGGCTGGAGAGGAAGGACGGCGCTCGGGGACTGTGGGCGCTGGAGGTGGGGCTGAGATCCCAGAGGAGCTGGGCTAGAAGGCCACGCCCCCCGGCGGGTGAAGGTCGAGCTCGGGATTCCAGAGTCCTAGGCGGGCTCTGTGTGGAAAGCCATCGCCTCCCTGGGCCTCAGTTCCCACCGCCGCGCTGCTGGCCCAGCGCCCCCTCTTCGCTGCACTCCTGCTTCTGAGTCCGCGGAGAGACAGTGGCTCCGGGACAGCAGCTCCCCCAGCGCCGGCGCCGTAACTGCTCAGGGCGTCACCGAGGGTTTTGGAAGGAGTCGCACGCCTCGCCCCCGGCTTTCTAGGACTCACCCCCTTTTTGCCCCACCTGTGTCCCTTTCCCTTTGCTGCTGAGCCTGCCTGGACAGAGGAAGACATATCTCTAACAATCCATGTCCCCTGCTGTTTCACCGCTGATTATTTTCTTGGAGGGGGGGTTAATTGTGATTAAAATCAATTTTAATGTGTCTTTGAAAATCCTTCCAGGAGTTTATCAGATTGTAAGTTCCATCCCCTCAAATTCAGATTCAGTCCTATTGGCATGAAGTGGAAAATCTATATTTTGAACAAATACCCCAATCTGCTGGGTTCCCACTTTGAGAAATGATAGTGGAGTTTTAAATGACCCCCTCAGGGAAGGAGGGAAGCCCGAAAATGAATCTGGCCCCCAGACCAAACCCATCCACTCAGGTTTGGGGAATTCGGAAGAAGGAAGAACAGCTTGAAGGGATAACAGCCTGGGGTCACAGGTGTCCATGGGGAAGAGAGTAGAGAGGGAGTGGGGCTGGGGAAGTGAGTTGAAATTTCAGGTCTCTGGTGCCAGTGACCTGGTCTAGAAGTCCTTGCAGGGGAGTTTCCAGAGACTGGCAGTCCGGTCAGAAAGGGGTCCCCCCTTTCCTATTCATCCTGCCCCTACTTTGGGCAAGTGGAAATGGAGCCAGTGGGTGAGGCAAGACACCTGTGTCCCTCTCAGCAGGCCACAATAGCCTGTAAGTGCCTGGCACTGTTCCAAGTGCTTCACAGGTATTCTATCTCTGCCACCACCCTATGAAGTAGTACTACTGTCATTCCCACTTCAGATGGTGAAGCTGAGACTCAGAGTTATCAAGTAGCTTGCCAAGGTCAAGGGTACAAGGATCCAAAGAAAGTCATTCAAATTGGACCTTCCACTTGTCTCGTTCTTGTCACTGGAGGGCAAAGCCCCCCACCTCCCGCCAAGGCAGACGATGGATGGAGCAGGTGTTTCCTTCTCAGGATGCCTGGTTGGGACTGGCCTGTGAAATGAATGCTCGGTAGGTGTTTGATGGAGCCTAAGACCTGGAGGGGGCAGGGGACTAGGGGAGTGTGTCTGAGGAAGACACTTTAAGCCAGATGGTGAGTCATCACAGGGAAAATCGTGCCGTACCCTGGTGCAGCCTCCACCCTCCTCTGACTATCTTTAGATGCCTGAAAGTTGTGTTGGGACAGATAAATGATAACAATAGTTAACATGCACCAGGCCCGGTTCTTGGTACTTGTTATACTGGTTGATGTTCTTGATACATTCACTGATTTAATCATGACGAGAATCCTATGAGATAGGTATTATTGTTATCCCATTTTGCAGACGAGGAAGTGGAGACATGGAAAAGTTAACTGACACACCCAAGGTTCCACAAGTAAGATGTGGGGCAGTGAGTGATTCTCCCCAAGCACTTAGGAGTCTGTATGCTTTACCACTGTGTAATCCTGCCTCTCAAATATACTGACAGCTCCTGCAAAGGGAGAGAAGCCCACATCCAGAGTCATTTCCCTCACACTTGGGTGCACAGGCTCCAGACGTAGGGGGAGGGACAGACAGATAATGGAGGCTGACTAGCAGGGCCTCTTCACACTGTCCACCCACATGATGAGCTCTCTGCCAGGGCATGAGCCTTATGGAACCCTGCCTCACTCCCTCAGGCAGGCGGCAGGGGACGGCAGAGGCTCCCAGGGAATAGTCCAGGAGGGTTAATGGGAAAGGAGGGCTTCTTGGCCGGCTGTGACTCTGGGCTGTATTCCTCCCACCGAAGCCTCTTTGCTGAACTCTACACTCGTGGAGCCCACAGCTTCCTGAATCTTCACACTACGCGAGTCTAAAACTCCCTTCCCACCCCAGCTGCCTCTCCTCCCGCCTGGCCTCTCTCAGCTCCCTGCTCCAGGACCCCCACCACTGCCTAAGCAAGGCACCTGATACCTCACTCCCTCCCTCTCCCACATCTCATCAGCCTCCAATTCTGATTGATTCAACCAATGGATAACCTCTTGCATCCACCCATCATGCCCCATCCCCACTCAAACTGCTCTAGCAGAACGATGGTCTCTTCCATCACTTACTATGTGCAGCGTGCTCCGTTTACTACTTTATAGACATCATCTTTTAATCCTCAGAACAATCACTATTTACAAGTGAGGAACAGAGCTGAAGAACAGAGAGGTGAAGTAACTTGGCCAAGGTCACACAGCTAGTAAGTAGCAACGCCAAACTCAGTCCGATGGCAGAGCCTACCCTCTCAATCACTCTTTGGTGATCACTACTCTCAACCTTGCCTTCCTCAGTCCTTCCTGTGCAGTGCCACAAGAATCTTTAATTCCTTCAACGGCATTTGCTGTAAGTTCCAGCAACTCTGCTGTAAACTGGAGCTCTAAAACTGGGCAGATACTGGGCTCCAGGGCCACGGAGCCTGGTGGAATTTTCTGGTAGCTCCCTAACACACGAATCTGGTCAGGCCTCCATACCCAGCACAGTGTCTGGCATAAAGCAAGTGCTCAATGATTCCGGGCGGAAATGAGTTGAAGTCGGTGGGACAGTCAGCTGGGGCCTGCTGTGGGCCTGTACCAAGGGCAGGGCGGAAGGGAAAGGGGCTGCTTTCCCAGTTCATTTTTCGGACAGTTTGTTTCACCTCCCTCCCGGCTGCTTCTTTGTCTCCTATCTTTTCTCCTTCTGTGCTGCAAACCTTGCTTACGAGGCTCAGCTGTGTCCCTTGAGGTTGCTGGTGGGTTGGAGGGTGGGAGGTTGGAGGACGTCTTAGCTGATAGGCTGGCAGCGGGACTGAGGAAAAGGGCCAGCTTGGAGGCCAGAGGATATAAGGGCTGTGCCTGGGTACCTTGGCCTGCTGCAGCTTCCCTCAGCATCCTGATGTGATCCCCTGGCCATGGCTTATCAACAAATGGAGAGGGACTGAGAAGAGAGCCCAGGTACCCTCACCTGGGCTCTACCTCCCAGCTCCGGAAGGTTGAAGGTCCTCTGGCACTTGTCCAGGCTTCTGGCCCCAAGGATGGTTCCAGTCCAGTTCCCCCATCTCCTCCCCTGCCCATTCCTGGGGGGCTGAGGCAGGGAGCTGGAACACTGATGGGCACCAAGCCAAACCTTCCTGGCACCAGCAGGTCACAGCCAGTCACTCTTGAGCCACTGTGACAGTGGTAGAGCAGGGACGCAGAGGAGAGATGGGCTCCTACTTCTCCAGGAAGTGGGGGGCAAGCTGGAGGGAGGTCTGTGAGGGCGGGACAGGGCTGGGGAGCAGTGGGGAGCTGACTGAGGCGAGAACAGAGTCCCCACACTTTCCTGGAGGCACATTCTTCTGGCTGGTGGTCAAGCTACCCGTGCATGACAGGAGCAAGGAAACGGTCACCAGACAGGCCTGTGGTGCTGATGGCGGTAGCCAGAGGGTGAGGAGAGGCTGGCAGAGCAGGGCAGAAGGCAGGGGCAGGTCTGGAGCTGTGCTAAAGGGAGGGGAACAGGCCTGCCTAGCAGGCAAGTTTGGTGGTATTTCAATGTGCAGAAGGTGCTTTCTCCCTCCAGCTTCTGCTTCTCAAGTGTGTGTGTGTGTGTGTGTGTGTGTGTGTGTGTGTGTATTCCACATACCCAGGAGACACTGCATCTGCCCTTGAGTAATCAGTGCTCTGAAACCGTGGCTCCAGCTCAGTCGTGACCACTTTCCCTCAGGCCCAGAGCCCTCTCCTTGGCTCCCTCGCCTGCACCCCTGTTGGGGCTTCCAGTCTGCACTTGCCAGCCCACACCACTCCCCCGCCTCTCCCTGGGGCTCACTGCCCGCACTACCTCCTCCCAACAACCCCAGCCTTCCCCGGACCCTCATCTCAGGGGCTCCCATCTTCCCTGGGCCCTTGCTCAGGACTCAAACTCTGCACCCACTTTGCCCTTTTAGAGACTTAGGCAGGGGCAGCTGCAGTAGCCCGAGGGAGGGTTCCGTGTGGATCCAGAGCCCTGGCCAAGGAGAGGGCAAGGCTGTGAGTAACCAGGCAAGCAGGCCATGCAGAGAAGGCCCTTCCTAGCATCAGAGCAGACCCCAATCCTGCCCCCAAATCCCGCTCGGGAAGTGCTGGGGCCAGAGGAAGCTGAACACTCCAAAGACTCGGCACCAGACCCACTGCCCATTTCCTCCCTCCAGAGAGG